ACTTTCTGCCAGCAACCCTATTCCATCAGCCTATGGGCGTATAGCACGGCAGCATGCGTCTCCCTATCGATGAGATGGACAGAACCAGGGACTCCACAGCCCAAAGGAGCAAGTATGACTCACTCTTCTCGAAGCACCGTCTTCTCCTCCATTTCCAAAAACGGAGGCACGACGGCTAACTGCTGTTTCAGGTATCATACATGATGCTCGAAGCTATATGAAGACCAGGTGATGCGACTATCCACAGCGTGGAGTAGATGATACGCAAGTCGACTATTCGTCGTCAGTGCCACGCTTTTCCTATCGTTGGCCTTGAATCCGCGAAATGACACCCTGACAAGACGCTACTAGAGGTCATTGATACTTGTTGTTTGCGAATATTGGCCCCGAAATAGGGCTGAAGTACCTCTCACGTGCTACAAAGGAGAGAGAAATGCTATCATGCAGACACCAGACACTCGAAGTTGAATCAGCGAAATTGAAACTGCGGGGAGCTTCACCCTCTCCAAATACAATCAAGCAATCAGATCCAAATCCTATCCTGAATAAGTGACTTCTTCAATTGCTCAGGGAGCTTGAGAAACGTGGGTGAAGTCAGTTTAACGGATGATCCACTAACACATGAAACCCTACAGCACCTGACAATTCATGTGTAGATCTCAATCTCTTCTTCAGAAAGCCATCGTCTTCCTTTCCCAAACAGGAAATTGAGATAACGCCGGATATGACCTTCTTGCGGCCTGTCGGCAATGACGAGCGCGGATGTCGCCCTTCTGGCGGTGTACATGCAGGGTCGGCCCAATTATAGAGCAAGAAGAACATCTGGTGGAGAGCCCGAAATTGCTATGAACCACGTAGCAAGTGAGTTGATTTTACATGGAGTGCGCAGTTATCTCTTTCAGACTAGTAGCTGAAAGTGGTACCATACATTGTAAGTACGTCCGAATATACTACTGACAACGAAATCCTGGTTGTGCTTCTTGATCCCATTTAGTCATACTGTGAACGTCATGGCATCTGAGACAGGACCAGATTACTCCTGTCAATTAACCACAGTGTCAATTTCTCCCTTGCGCCTTTATAGAATGGCGAAATGGGGCAAGAAATGACGCATTTCTTATTGACCTTCCGTTCTACCGTCGGGCTCAACGAAGTGCTTTTTCAGCATTGCTTACCACGGAAGAAATCTATACACATCCTAAGCGGAAATCCAATGAGACCCATATCAAGCCCACCATCTGACTTCCAACTTGGGGATTACTGACTCCTTTCGGATCCTCATCGCCGTATCAGGCCAGGCTCATGTCCTGACTTAGCCGAAGATATCATCCCAACCGTGGTATATCGAGTGTCAATTGCCCTGAAACTGGCTTAGGGAATTATAAGCATTGTGGCTATCGCATCCTTCAGAAACACCTGTCACAATGATGTTCACAATTTGCCTTTGCTGCTGTTGCGACGGCGTGATTCTATGTATAAATGGACATCGCTTCCCCGGCGAGTAATTCTCACAGCTTCAGACGAGCCGACATTACCGTATCTATGCAATTCTAATCCTGCTGTTATCACCTGCGCCTTAGTTGTTTTGTAGTCTCCACCTTCAAAGTCAAGCGTCACGCAAGTTCCAATCCCAAGACCGGTAGCTCCCCCGTTGTATTCTCCACGGTCTACGCATCACCACCGACCAGAATCAGGATCAGAACCGACTCTCGGTCATTTTACATAGACAAAGGACGTCAGCTTCCAATCTCGGTCTTTGGCAATCAACGCAACTACGAGATGAGTCAAACTGCTCCTCATCCCACAGTTCCCGCCGAAAGATCGGTGTAGCAGGACGGACCCCAGACGCCCCAATAACCACAATCACAAGTCGTAGACTATTCCGTACAGCACTTCAGATGAATACAAACCGGATTCAATAATACTGCATACTCAGGTACAGAAAGACCCATAACGAGTCCCGGGTAGTCATGGCCCGGTACTCCGCATAGCATATGGAATCCTCAATCCTGTGCGGCGCGCCAGCACAGACCAAGTGACCTCTGTCAGTCTGCGCGAGCTAAATTTACAATAACCATATGGCGTTGATTTGTCAAAGGATGGAGTCCTCACAACCCCGTATCTTCAGTGGGTCTTCTTGAGAGTCTATGTCTATCAGGTTTCAGCTTCAGGGACGGGGTTGGCTGGTTTGACTACTGGAACTTCAGGCACAAATGTAGGCCTATGCATTGTGGATCTGTAATGCCTGTGGGGGGCTATAGAATAATTACTTGTGGTTGTGTCTCCCATTTGTTCCATACTTGCAGTTCTGTTCCTATGATATGGTTTTACCCACTTGCGTGAGTTGGGTACCTGACTGCGGTACTGTTGCTATCAGTCTATGACTCACACTTTCCCAAATGTATGGGGACGCAGGACGGATAGTAGGCGTTTCCCCAGAGTCTGTGGAGGGCGAGGAGATCCCTTCAGATGATCGCAGAAAGGGCATGGCATTCGTCCTTGCTTTGTTCTTACGAAACTCGTTTGAGAGAAGATGTTGGAAGCATAACATATAGCCAATAACAAGCAACCATTCCATTGTTGGCTACCTATTGTAACAATGTATCAAACCACAAGTACCTATCCTCCTGCCCGAACTATCAAGTAATCTCAAATGACCGGCCACCGGTCAACGTCGTCCTGAATCGTGAAAAACCATGAAGCTATACTAAGGGGTATCATCTTCCGCCCGCTGAACAGACCCTTCATGAGCCATGATGATAGAAACACTGATGTCCAACCAATTACGTTGATCGATGTGATGGGATCACTGACTCCCACCCTGAGTCGTCCAGTGCGAATCAACGAGTCATCATTTACGAATCTTGCGCATATGTGCAAGAGTGTTAGCATGTACAGATTAGAAGCGGATGAAGTCGTGTTGCTGGAAGAGCTCCTGCTCGCCATTGTCAGCTCCTTCAACGTATTCAGGCTCATCATCGAGGTCGTCAGAGTCAACGTCATCCGAATCGATGGCGTCGTACTCTTCCTCCTCGCTTGACTCGTCAGACTCTTCCTCGTCCGCAGCATCTGCTTTACTCGCAGCATTCTTTCGAATTTGTCCAGCCCGGTCGACATGGGGCAGACGACAGCGCTTCTTGTTGCAGACGCCGGTGGCGGCATAATCTGGGCATTCGTGAACATGTCGTTCCTCACATTCAGCGCCCTTGTCACAATAACCTAGGTTTGCAAAATCTCTGCATACGGGTGCGCCAGGTGTCACTCGCACGTGGGAGTATCGACAATCTGGATTCGAGCACCGATTTCTCAGAAAATGCACACAAACAGGGGACCTGTGGGGCGATGGTTCATGGGATAAGTCGCAATTTTGACCAGCGCTGCAGTTACCAGTCTGCAGAAATTCCTTGCAAATGGCGACTTTGTTCGGATCGTGAATGAAGAGACATGATGGTCCTTTGTAACAGGCACCTAAATGCAGAGAGATCAGATCAGCCCTGACAGCTCAAATAGTAGTAAATAAACCGTGAACAAGTGAGAGAGGGTAAGATCGCGGAAGATAGTAGAAGAAGGGGCGGAAGCCTGGCTGGGGAAGTGCTGGTACCCGTCGAAGTAAATCGTTTGCAGAGCTCGTTTCTCTTCTTGACTGCCGTCGGTTTTCTGCGATCACTGTGAGTTCTGAACGCTCTTGAATGATATCGCAAACATTACCTTTTCGAGGTCACCGCTCCGAGTCTGTGAAGGTTTCCGTTCTTGCTCCTGACAAAAGTCACACCAGCAACCGTTACTTTCTTTGGTGTGATGTTGGCAGTATTCGGGTCGTCTACTAAAGGTAAGCCAGTTCTTCTGCCCGCGGCAGCACAGAAAGGGTTCCCACCAGATACGCGAACCAATTTACTGCCGCCTTTTGCAATTTTGAAAGGAATATCATTCAGATAGACCTGATATTCACCGTGAGGTTGGGTGGTGGCAGAAACCTGAGAGGCAACAGTAGTAGCATGATGGGGTCTGCCAAAGCCCTGTGCGTAACGGAGAACTTTGGCCTGCTCAATCCGTGCCTTTTTCTCGGCCTTGGCCTTGCGAGTCTGCTCCATTGCTTTCGCTCTCGCCTGTGCTTCCTTATCGTAGATAGCCGAGTTGATCAGCTGCATATGACGGTCGCGTTTCGCAACCCAGCCGTTCGGCGTCGCCGATCGCGATTCGCCAACATTCTCGTTCGTAGGTACGGGGGCAGAACTGGTAGAGTTCCCTGAGTTCGCATTATTGAGGACGAGAGTACGGTGGCGATGGGGAGCTGCAGGACGTCCGCGTCCGTATGGTCGTCCACGATACGGCGCCCATCCCGCACGCGCGCGGGTGTGCCGTGACACGTACGGACCAGCATGAAGCTCGCTACCATGATGCGCCTGTGCCTGTGCCTGGGGAGTTTGGTTTCTGTGCCTGTTGATCTGGCCTAGAATGTATCAGCTGGCGGTAAAGAAATGAGCCGATAGAAGTGAGGATGCTCACCAGCTAGCTGGCTGATCTTAGCCATCAACTCTTGGTCTTCTGTCATGTTGGCCTAGCTGTATCAGAACGCAGAGAGGCCAAAGTCAGTTGTGCACATATGCTCAAGGCTCTATCTTTCTACTAGTCGAGGGGAGGTTGTATGAACGGTTAAAGTGGTAAGTGTTCTTGTTTCATTCTAGGGAAAGTCATGATATGGTCAGCTTGTGGCGGTATCACTGTCACGTGAGCAACTCTAGTACTCCCTACTATTGAGGGGTGATGGTTCATGACTGTTTCACCTCTCTTTGACATATTGATAAAAATAGTGATCCTGTATGCATATTTGCTTTATGCCACACTATGAGATTGATGTATTTTATTCACACTTGCACCACCCAGTCTGATGGTGGAACTTGCTATGTGATACCAGTGTAGATGACTCCAAACATCCTTTACATGTGCCCAGAAACCCCAAAAGAACGCCATGACCTGCTTATGCTACAGAACTTCACTTCTTAGACAACGTCCTCAAATTTCATCTCGTCGTTATCAGTAACCATGCCAGATGCATTGGCCTCTTCTTCGGAACCGTCGTCAAAGTTGTAGTCGGTTCCAGGAGGAAGCTCCTCCTTCGCATTGCCGTAGGACAGTGCATTTGCGTAGTTGCTTTCCATGGCCTCAGGTTTGAGTTCCCAGGTCATGGCAAAGTCGCCGGACTTGACCAGATGCGCAACCATCTCCAGGGTCTGCTTGAGATATGCCTCTGGCTGTCGGAGTCTCGCCTTGAGCGTCTTAAAAGGCCAGTATTTGTATTCGCGGAAGCACTGGTAAATAAGATCCAGTAGTTCGTTCTGCGGCATACGTGTGGTCTTGTTCTCTTGGGCCTTTGCCTTGACCGGCTTCGTAGCTTGCTGCATTCCACATTAGTATAATTGTCGGGAAAGTCATTTGGATCCATTCAAAACACACCACAAAGGCGCCCTTCTCTCCAGGCAACACATTTCTCGCTTGGAGAAGCTTGCCTGGAACCTTGTCAATGAACACAGTTTCGCGTTTGGGCTTTAGTGCTTCGAGAGCTCTCTTTTCCGACAATCGTCGGAATTCCTCGTTCTCGACTGGAAGGCAATTAAACTCTTCGCTGACACCTCCTACGAGGGCGGTTTGTTCTGCTGCAGTGTCAGTAGGATGTATTTCGCTCCCGACCATATAAACGTACTAGGCACCGTTCGCCGCACGTATGGTTCCCATTTTTTCCTGCGCTCCTTTTTCCTTGCATCGCGCTTCATGGCTTCGTATAATGCCGATCGCGCTTCTCCGAAAACCACCATGCGATTTTCATGACCAGGTATGTCTTTTTCCGTGAATAGATAGGTGTTTTGTGTCGCATGGGATGTTACGTTTCCCGGGTTGATGGTCTGTCGCTGCAGTATGTAGTCCTTAGGGATATCGCGGTTGTCTTCTCGTTCGTTGAGACGAATACTGACCTACAGACAGCACTTGTTACGACCGGGCCAGCAAACAAAAAGAAAATACTGAAAGAAAGTTCAAAATCTCAAGAGCTTACCCGTTTAATATCATTCGGTGGGCCCTCTATTCTCATCGTTCCAATCTGTATCTCTTCGTCGTCATCGAGACTCGCCCAATGCTCCCAGAGCGATCGCGGGATGCGCGAAAGCCACACGTTCTGCCCAGCGTTTGAAAAGTCCAGGTCCCCGTCATCATCGTAAATATCTTCGTCGATATCAGCAAGAACAGTGTCTTTATTGTCGGGGTCGGGTTTGATGTAAGGCGTCGGGGCGTCTGGGTCCGGCTTGACCTGGGCAAACATTATGCCGAATCCTCCTCGAGCAAAGGCGTGAGACTCCCAAAATCCTCCAGCGAGCAATATCAAATCATGCGACCGTGTGTATAGTGAGAGATGTGTGAATGTGTCAAGGCCTGTATATGGGATCGAAGTCTCAAGTGACGTGATGTTGAAGCTTGTCGCTATGCAGCCGCTGAGACCAGAGGAAGCTGCCGAAGAGCGGGTCCGCGAAGGCGGTGGCGCTATTGTGACCAGTGACCACAAAGACACAAAAACAAACCCCTCGATGAACAGTTCAACAATCAAGCACCCGATCCAACTTCATTTGATTGTCCTTTGCAGTAGCATGGCTTGCATATATTACAGTGCTTGATAATCATGGCTAGCTGATGTAAATTCACTCAGCACAGTGGCTGAGCTGCCAGGGATTGAACAGTGTTATTACCCACCAAGGTCAAGAACTGCGCCTGTCTACTCCCTCTGATACATTATTCGGGCGTCGCAATCTTTTCCAATCTGCCTCTGCGTCTCTTGATGAAACATTGATCTCGAGTGGATTTTAGGCTCCCACGGTCCGTCACGTCAGCTTCAAAGACCTAGTTGCTATCCTGTCACAAAGCGAGATGATTCCAGTTATGAGTACACTTCCGCTTAGTGAAACACAAGTCGATTCTAATGATTTTCGGAGTTTTCTTGTTTGTGTGATTCGGCTTTTGGTATATACTGTGGACGGTGATTGCCTTGAGATCTGAGCGTGTCATCTCGCTGATCATCGAGTCAACGAATACTTCATCTTGCAGCGAGTCACAGCGGGAAGACATCGGCTTAGGGCATATTAGTGTGCCGGAGCCTGGTTTCAATTCAGACGAATGAGTCAGTCTGACTTAAATCCAGCAATTTGGAGCCTCTAAAGAGAACATACTCAACAGTATTTTGTAGAATGCCAGAAGATGAACATGGTTACAGACAGGCGTTAACTGAGCTAAAGCTGAGATAGACACTCAAAGAGCCTGCCCCATGGACAGGATGTGGAATTGCAGAGTAGAACTTGATCTGAAGAGTTGCCTCAGATAGTGTCATAGTATGTCTATAAATTTGGGGTCTTCTACGTTTACGCATGGTTCTGATTCCCTTGTTCTCTCCACATGTTGTATTGTTCTATGTCCCCAGCACAACCAGCCTTATCGATAAGCGGAGCTCCAACTCCTCCGCTCTTTGCCAAGCGTCACTTTCAACCCATCAAGCGCTCTTCTTCTCGCATCTGCTCGCTATTGTACGGCTATTGAATCAACTAATTGGCTAGATTAGGCTTGCACTTCGTTCCATCAGAAAACACACTCCCTTATGGCATCTCAGAGGATCGCCTCCGCACTCGCGGAGATTGAGTCGTCCACCAACCCACAGACCAAGCTCCAGCAGTACAACAGCCTTCTCTCCGAGATCACATCCACATCATCCGAGCATGAGCTTGGCCAAGACCTCATCTACTATCTTGACTCGGTACTCAGCGAAGAAATCAGCATCGTAGCGGCGCGACCGCTCCTCGACTCCTTTATCGCCGTCCTTCAGAAACTCACATCCGAAACGCAGATCAAAGTCGGCCAGCATGCAGTGACACTGCTCCAATCTCGGTCTTCATCTGTCGAGGAGCAAGACTCCCAGATTCGCGAGATTCTCGCGGACGCATACGAGTCCCAGGAGGAGTACGCGGCCGCCGCACGGGCACTGCAGGGCATCCACATCGACAGCTCGCAGAGACTCGTCTCGGACGCTGCCAAGGTGCGGCTATGGATACGAATTGTACGACTATACCTAGAGGAGGACGATACGACCAGCGCAGAGGGGTTCCTGAACAAAATCAAGAACCTACCTAGCAAGATCGAGGACCACGAGCTGAAGCTCCATTTCAAGCTATCGCAGGCCCGGATCCTCGATGCGCGACGGCGGTTCCTGGATGCGAGCCAGGAATACTTCAACGTCAGTTTGGCCGGTGGCGTGGACGAGAGCGATCGGCTACAGGCGCTTGCTGCTGCGATCCGGTGTGCGGTCCTTGCCCCAGCGGGACCGCAACGCTCTCGCATCCTCGCTACGCTGTACAAGGACGACCGTGCGACTTCCGTTGAGGAGTTCGGGATTCTTGAAAAGATGTTCCTGGATAGACTCCTGGATCCAGCTGAGATTGCTGCCTTTTCTGAACGACTAGCTCCACACCAATTGGCTCGAACGGCGGACGGCACCACAGTGCTTGACAAGGCTGTCGTCGAACATAACCTCGTTGCCGCCAGTAAGCTTTACGAGAACATCACGACGGACGCACTGGGTGCGATCCTGGGTCTCAAGGAGAGCGGAGACATGACGGCGGGCGAAAAGGCTGAGGCCTACGCGGCGCGGATGGTCGAGCAGGGTCGATTGAACGGTAGCATTGACCAAATCGCCGGTGTGATTTACTTTGACTCGAGCGAGGGCGGGTCGGCCACTGCAACGGGACGACATATCCGGCAGTGGGATGCGGGGGTGCAGGGTCTTGCGGAAGATGTGGAACGGGTTGCAGCTAGTATTACAGATGCATTTCCGGTATGTGCTCATTCAGTCTGGTAGACGACCTGTGGCTAATGGTGTTTAGGAGTTTGCTGTGGGACAGATGGTGCAATAGAGCGCTATAACTGGAGCAACTTGACGGCCAATGAACCCGAGCAGTATTATCTACTCTTCTATTGAAATATATTCAGTGAATCCGATTCATTAGGCTTAATATATCATGTATTAGACAGTTATAGGTTTGCTATGCATCACAATTGGGTAAACGAAGGTCATCGGTCCGCTCAAACCGAGGGACTAGCGGATATCAAGATACATGACAATGGAGGACGGTAGGGAGACGTGATAATAACCAATGTCGATGATATAATGAGTGACAGACAGATGGGTTTATCTACTTCTAGATTACCGTCAAGCGAAGGAGTGTTCCCATTTGGGTATAAGAATCATACTGGCTGGAGGTGAACCTTCAGCGTCAGGGCAATATTTGGTTCCGACCGAGTCAAGGCCAACAAACTTCACGAATCGAGGGCCCGGACCGGGGGCTGGGATGGATAGGGACGAGGCTTTTTGATTTCTCGCCATCTGGAGAAGTGGACTTAATAGTTCTGGGTGTCACAGTCCGGCGAAACACTGGAGAAAGGTCTCCTAGTTTGTCGACATTGGACAGGACGGGAGAACTGGGTCCTTTCAGAAGGAGCTAATTACTCTCCTTTGCTGCGTATATGTCGGTGTAGAACATCAGGTAAGCGATCAAGTTTGTGATCTGAGAGATGCAGCGTCCTGACTGATCTTGATGTCCGTTCGAACTGCAATGTCCTTAGGACTGAGGTAATCGTCCGGCGGGACCTCGGTATCGGTAGTGGCTCGGGACATGAGACCTTCCTCCATCTTAAAGTAAGCGGACGCAGGAGACTTTGGGCTTGACAGAGTGGCGAGGTGAGAGCCAGTGTAGTCGGTTTTGATGTAGTAAGGAGCCGTAGTCTTGCGGCTACCGGACAGCTTGAGTTTCGGAAAGAGCCCGCGGATGATGGGGAGGCAAGAGCAGATAAGCCCGATGGACGGCTCGATATGCGTCCAAAGCGTGGCCTGGTAGACAGTAAAGGTCGTATCGGATGTTTTGATCCAGAAGAGCACGACGATCCGGTAGATACTAGCGAAGCAGACAAAGGCACCTAGGGCGAATACGCCATTCAAAGCGAGCTTGTCCTGCCATGCTCTTTGTAGCCCCCAGATCATGGGAATTGGCAAGGCCAATATGACGAAATCCATGATGACGTTGAAGGCCTGGTTGACGATGAAGAACTCGTTCCCGTCAAAACAGTGACCGTCGATGCTTTTGTCCCAGTACGCTCTGAGAGGACGGCACTGTGCGGCACAAGCGAGGAAAATACCTGCTCCCCAGCTGGCGATGAGGATATTGAGAGCGAATGTCACTAGTTGGAAACTTTTTGTGTTGAATAGCCGACGATAGAAGCATATGATGGAGATCTTGATAGCAGGACATAGTATGAAGTAGGTGAACTGATTCGACAAGAAGATCTAACCGGCAAGACTCAGCAAGACAGCTGGAAGGAGGTGACAAGTTAAATTGTGTTACTGACCTTGCCAAAGTTCATCATCGTTTCCATGTCCAAGTCTGCTTGATGCTGCCCATTGCCTCCAATGGCAACCCCTGTCACATGGTCAGCAACTGGTTTGAAGCGCTGGGCGCGATGGGACTTACAGAGAATCAATTCAATCTCCATGGCAATCAACATGACAATAGATAAGAAGCATAAGTAGTCATCTACTCCAAGTTTGACTCTTCGTTTGATCCTCGCAAAGACACGGAGGATGACGGCGAGCACCGAAAGGCCGACTAGTACCGACACAATGGCAATCATACTCTTCCCTCTAGAAGTGATCGCCATTTTGAATTGAGTACGGTAACCGGTAAGGAATGATAATTTCAGTAGGGTCAAGATGGATGTGGGGTATGCGATTTCAAGGAATGGACGACCGTAGTCAGGGCGGATATCCAAGTTGCGTTATGCAAACATGCAAGTCTATCAAGCAAGGCACACTATAAAAAAGGAGTGACAAAAAAGGGGGAGTTCAGTGAGACGGTATATAACTCCAGGACAGACAGCAGTCGTATATCACTGTTGCAGGCTGGAGGAAGATGGAATCTTAGGAAGGAAAAGGAACAAAATAACCGGGGAGGAGACAAAGCACCATGTTTTATGTAGGTTATCTCATATTGGCACTTGCAGTATTACTGGATAAGTGAATGGAGCAGAGGTGTGCAGATGGATCTTCAGGGACCAACAAGATACTGCAGCAACAACTCTTTCCTGATCTGTGTGGCTGTTAGTGATTTGCAACGACGATCCACTGGCCATAGACGAGCACACACAGCAAATGTGGTCCAATATTCTGTAGCAAACCAAGTAGATGCGCCAGTCTAAGGCAATCAAATCACTAGATCAGAGCATATTTCAACCCTCATGGTGCATGCACGGTTGTGACTGGGCTGGACAGAAGCTCAGCAGTGGGGATGAGCAAGGCGTGGCCTGTGACAGAGTCACATTTCCTGGGAATCGGTGAATTACTGATTTGGAAGGTCAGTTAAATGGCCCCTCTCATCAAGACTAAGAAGTCGGAAACCAGGCACCCTCGTGGCAGTGGAAAATACTGGCTCCACAGCTGCATGGGGTAGGAAGATCAACAAGCGAGTAGAAAATCCATCCAGGATTCAGAACAGCCATCCGGCAGTCCGAATGTAACCCTATCACTTCGTAGATATGCTTCTCATTCTCGAATAATGTATCCTCAAGGGAAATGATGGACCTTGTTGTCGAGCTGTGGAAATGAAATGCCGAAAGAGCGATGTTCATCACGCCAGGATCTATAAAATTGGCATGCATGTCAGACTCTGCCCCTTCCCGCAAAATTGCCATTGGTCGACATCAGAATGATGCTGGACAGCTGGAGATTGCACAGTCATCTCATGGATGCTTCTGGCTAGGTCAGTCGGATCATTGAATTCCGACATCACACCCCGCTGTGTGATTTTAGCACATCGGATGATAAGATGCTGCTGCTTTGGGAGGAAGGCGTCGTCCTTCCTAAAACAGTTCCACTTGCTCCTGTCCGGGAATAAAACTCAGCTGGGTTTGGCCTTGAGCAAATTGATCCCACACGTGAAGCTGATAATCTGCAATCCGGGAGGGGAGAAAGAAAGAAAAATCAATAGTCTCTTATTATGTTATCCACCGAACCGTTCAAGAACTTAGCAAATACCGATGTCGCAGTCAGGCCCATCTGATCTCATGTCGCCTGTCGATAAGACAATCATCTCTTCATCTGGAAAAAGCGCTGTCGACTTCAACTTTGCGAGTCAACGACCGCTGACATCCATTGTCCTCTCTGCCCCCCATCACGAAATGATCTCATGCTCATGATTGGTCGATATTCTCATGTTGTTAACTTGTTTCCATTCTCGGCTCTCATCACGATCCACGAGAGCGAAGAGGCTTCGACTCTTCTCTGAATGCCTCAAGTGCTCGGCTCCACTAAGCGGGACATCTATTGAACCTTGGCACTGTTCACGGTCCTCATTCGCTTGGGACCATGCAGCTCATGTTTGAGTGAACAGAACAAGATGTATAGCGGATCGCTCCCTGGCAGTCGGCGAACGACGTACGCCATCCCCCCATTCGGTGTGGGTAATGGGGCCGAACTACTCAGGTTTTGGAGCCCGTCATTTGCTCAGAACCATGGATTGTCCGGCAAGATCGACGCCCACAATACTCTAGAAGGTTGATTGTGAGTTAATCGAGTCGAAGGAGCAAGAGAAAGAAAGAGAAGCCCGGCTGGGGCTGATGCTTGGTTGATGGATTTGCTCTCTGAGTCTCTAAAACATATCCCTCAAGATTCAATAGTCTAGAAGATCTTTTTATCGGCCATTATTAAAGCATAATTACTTGCCATGTGTGAGACGCCAACTGTTCCTCAGTGCTGGGCTCGACTATCGCTAATTTTCTGGCTACTGTTAAAAACCTCCATGTGGGAGACAGGGTAAAAAGCAACATTGGAGAGTTGATCGTGCTCGAGCTCCAGCACGTGTTTACCACATGTTTTTTTCTTATGGAATGATATGAATAATATGCAGGCACAGATATGATTAGTGAAGACCATTCTTTATTGCCATTTTACCTACAAGTATCTACAGTAGAACGTGGCCTCTTTTCAATTAATAAGGTAAGGATATCTAGTGGCATCGGAGTGGGACACTGAGATCTACAGTGATTTGATGTTCGACATTATTTGTGAACAAAAGAGGAAGATATTCAAGAGCCATGAATAATAGCCGAGTTGGAGTAGCTTTTAGCGTAAAGTAGACTGTCATAATCTGATAATATTATTGGTTTAGTTATGTGCTACTTTCTTCGATATTCAGTCCCCTTCCCCTCACTCGGCTTGCCTCATACTCATTCAATTATATCCCAAGTTGAGAAGTTATGTTCATCATCGTCAATCGCTCTATCGACCCAGGAACAGTTCTCTTCGCTAAGATCTGACGATTTCACTATCCCAGAAAATGGCCTCAAACAGTGCAAGCAGCGCACCTGCCCCTCCCTCCGTGATTCCATTGATTATCAACGGCAAGGAGGAAGTCACCCCTACAACATTTGACGTGATCAGCCCCTACACCAACAAACCCTGCTGGGCTACAGCCAGTGCCACCCCCCAAGATGCAGTACGCGCGGTCGAAGCCGCCGAGGCCGCATTCCCAGCATGGTCGCAGACCAAACCGACCGTTCGCAGAGACATCCTGCTCAAGGCCGCGGATATATTGGAGAGTCGCCTGGTCCAGAACGCCGAGTACATGCGCACCGAGATGGGAGCTGATGTCGGCGCATCGCAGTTCTTCATCGTCCCGCTAGGTATTCGCATGCTGAGGGAAATTGCTGGGCGCATCACTTCTATTTGCGGAAGCGTGCCGGTTGTTGAGGAGGAGGGTCAGAGTGCAATCATTTATAAGGAGCCAATGGGTGTGATTCTGGGAATTGTTCCATGGTGGGTTAGCATACAGTACCATGAGGCGCTGATAGTCTGTGATGGCTATATTTCGAGACGGTGCTAACAGTCTTCCGCGACAAAGGAACGCGCCGTATGTATTCGGCATTCGATCCGCGGCTTGCGCGCTCGCGGCCGGTAACACCACCGTTCTGAAATCCTCTGAACTCTCCCCGTGTTCATACTGGGCAATCGCGCGTGCGTTTGCAGATGCTGGCCTGCCTGCGGGCTGCTTCAACCTCATATCATGCCGTCCTCAAGACGCTCCTGAAGTTGTCAATGCTATGATCGAGCACCCGGCCGTGCGAAAGGTCAACTTCACTGGTAGCACGGCCGTGGGGCGCAAGATTGCTCGCGCATGTGGCCAGAACCTGAAACCCTGTTTGATGGAACTGGGAGGAAAGAATAGCGCTATTGTCTGCGAAGATGCTAACATTGAGACCGCTGTCAAGGCGGTTCTGGCGGGCGCTTTCTTAAACGTATAAACCTCACGGCTACCTCATACGCTTTGCACACATAAGCTAACTCTGCTTTAGTCTGGCCAAATTTGCATGTCTACTGACAGAATTCTCATTCACTCGTCCATTGCGCCGGCGTTCATGGATGCGTTGAAGAAAGCCCTCGGATCGAATCTCGACCCTTCTGCGCCGCCTCCCACATTGGTCAACGTTGCCTCTAAGACGCGGGTGGAGGGCATGATCGACAGGGCTCTCGAATCAGGAGCTCACCTCATCCACGGGTCACTCGACAAGATAGTGGGAGAATCAGGTGTGCGCATGGCACCGGTACTTCTTGGTGGCGTGAAAGAAGACATGGAGGTATGGCAGGAAGAAGCCTTTGCCTCGCTGGCAGCATGCATGGTGGTCAACAGCGACGAGGAAGCCATCCGCATCGCCAACAGCAGTGGCTACGGATTGTCCGCGGCCGTCTTCACCAAGGATTTGAGGAAGGGGTTGGCGATTGCCAAGAAGATACAATCTGGGTCAGTATTTTTGGTATCATGTCAGTCCCTCTACAATACTGACAGATTGCAGTGCTGTACACATCAACAGTATGACTATTCATGACGAACCTGTCCTACCACACGGCGGTGTGAAGAACAGTGGATGGGGCCGATTTAACGCTACTCAGGGACTGGAAGAGTTCCTTGTCACCAAGAGCGTGACATGGATGGATTGATGATATGATGTGCGCGCCTGCTTTGTATGAGGATACCATCTAGGTCTGGAATCTAGGTTTCGTCTTGACGCTTGAGCTATCATCAAAATGTACTTCGCGGTAATCTACTGGCGTAAATCATATACATGACCGAACGGCAACCGGGATCTGCAAGTACAGCTCTGCCTGCATACCCACTTCAGGTTTATCGGCCGAATAGAGCTACAATCCTTGCAAACCGAATTCTATTGTTTGATATCCGAACAAGCTGTCGCAAGTGTCGAACCCGGCCAAAGTTTCCCGAGGCCGTCCTGCCCTTCCACAATCCTAACTTAGTGGCTCGGGAGAAGTAACACCGAGATCATATCGACAAGTACCGTTTTCGACAAGTCGCCACATATCACAAAATCGCATCAATACTTATGCTCATCATGATAGATAGACGATATAATAGACAGAGAATTAAGCTGCTAAGGCATCCAAGTGCCCAGTTCTACGTCTTGTTCTCACAAATCTCAGATGCAGTAGATCGGCTGTTGAATACCCAAAACAAGTAACTTCAATAGGCGGCATGATTATGTCAGATTTTCTGGCCGGCTATTGATGGTCGCCAGTATGAGGTCATTGCTTGCCGTAAAGGGAAAGGAAATTGCCGAGAAAATGCACGTGATCAATTGCCGACGCGTACTATCAGTACCCCGGATGGGGGAATGTGTATGAGCGTAGAAGTATTGAGCTCGATATCGTGGGGAAATGATTATTGTTTATTTTTCAAGATAAGGTTGATGGGATGGTGAGCAGATGGAATGTATATGAATTGAATGGGCCAAAGCTTGGGTTAATGAGCTGATATCATACCATATTGGAGAGGTACATTCTCGGTCCGAGGTACAAAGTGAGCTTTGCTCTGCCGTCATTTGGCTGATGCTGCCTCTTGCATGGTTGAAGTAGCGGACATACTGGTGTGACAATCTTCAAGGATATGGCATGATGAGCGCAGCAGCAGTAGAATGATACTAGTGAAAAGCAAGGTGTATTACTCTTTGTCCTGAATCTCCTCAGCTCAGATCTTGTTCTTCACGTTCCTCTCTAAGGTACCCGTTGGTGGAAGAAGTCGAGTTATCGCACCTGACCATTTACATAGCTCCAATTATCAAGCGCTGTATCAGGCTAGACCTCTTAGCAAGTACTTTAAACGTGTCTCCTCCGTCCATGAATGGAGAGACCAAAGACATGACGACAGCTGACTTGGGTTCTTGAAGAGCATGTGAAAATCCCCTGGGGTAGGCTGATGCGGAGAAACAGCACCTGGTCCTGGTGACTGTGGGTGATGATTACATGGCATTTTCCCCTAACCCAATGCCAATAAATGAGGCATAGATTACTTTGTAGAGTACCTGGTTTTCTCTCGCATGTGATGGACATTGACAGGGATGAGGAGGACTATCTGTTGAGTATTGAATCCAGTTCTTCTGTATGTTTTCGAGCTGTATCTAGATACCCTCAGCTGTTCATGATAGAGATGTCAATGTCAATTCAATAGATATCCACTTCTGCCAATATAATTGACAAACCAGAATCATCGAATTGAACATTACTCTTGAAGAGACCCATTCTCATATCCATCGCGACCAAACTACCAAGCGTCTCCTCGGTCGGATTCCAAGAGTGCAGGCCCACTGTATCCGCAGTTACCATACAGTCTGTGCCTCGGCCGAATAACAGCCAATATGCTGTCGGCTTCTGAATCGTCTCTCCCCCGGATCCTGCCACTTCCTTCCAGCGCCTTTCTCCCCTTCATACTTTAAGTTCTCTTTCCCCATCTTCTGATTTCCCCTTTCCCCATCCTTAACCTTCTTCTTGTTGTTTTTTATTCCCTACATTTTTCTTGTTTACATAAAGATGGCCACTCCTCCCAGAGTCATCGTCGTTGGTGGTGGATGTGAGTGATAGCTTTCCCCGCATTATTAGATTTGGCCCGGGCTTTCTTGCTGACCATTGTCTCGTCTCTCAGTGTCCGGTCTGAGTGCCGCCCACACCGTCTACCTGAACGGAGGCAATGTCCTCGTTCTTGACAAGCAGGGTGAGTGTTCCTTCGAATTCGTGTTCAACATCGCAAATTCCGTTACAAGAGGCTAATTTAATCAGCTTTCTTCGGTGGCAACTCCACCAAGGCTACTTCCGGTATCAACGGTGCCCTCACCCGCACGCAGGTCGAATTGGGCATTCAGGACAGCGTCAAGACTTTCTACGAAGATACCCTTAAATCCGCCAGAGACAAGGCTCGTCCCGAGCTGATCAAGGTCCTCACATACAAGTCCGCTGCTGCGGTCGAATGGCTACAGGATGTTTTCAACCTCGACCTCACTCTTGTTTCTCGTCTTGGGTAAGTAAAATAATTGTCTTGCATTTGCCATCTCTGCGATTTCTTTACTTGTTCATGTGCTAATTCCGTGAAGTGGTCACTCCCAGCCCCGCACACACCGTGGTCACGATGCCAAGTTCCCCGGTATGGCCATTACGTACGCTCTCATGCAGCGGTTAGAAGAGCTCAGCGAGAAGGAGCCTGAACGCGTACAAATCGTCAAGAAGGCTCGTGTCACCAAGGTCAACAAGTCTGGAGACACAGTCACCGGTGTCACCTACGAGCTGAACGGCCAGACCAAGACCGCAGACGGAGTCGTCATCCTGGCTACTGGTGGTTACGCTGCCGACTTCGGCGACGGCTCTCTCCTGAAACAACACCGCCCCGACACCTTTGGCCTGTCCAGCACCAACGGCACTCACGCCACCGGTGATGGTCAGAAGATGCTGATGGCTATCGGCGCCAACGGTATTGACATGGACAAGGTTCAGGTGCACCCTACCGGTCTGGTTGACCCTAAGGATCCCACCGCTAAGTTCAAGTTCCTTGCTGCTGAAGCTCTTCGTGGTGAGGGTGGTCTCCTGCTCAACTCGGACGGACAGCGCTTCTCTGACGAGCTCGGCCACCGTGACTACGTCTCGGGCCAGATGTGGAAGGAGAAGGAGAAGGGCAAGTGGCCCATCCGCCTGGTCCTCAACAGCAAGGCCTCTAATGTTCTGGACTTCCACACCCGTCACTACTCCGGCCGTGGTCTGATGAAGAAGATGACCGGCAAGGAGTTAGCCAAGGAGATCGGCTGTGGCGAGGCTGCTCTCAAGAAGACTTTCGATGATTACAACCTCATCGCTGAGGGCAAGAAGAAGGACCCCTGGGGCAAGCGCTTCTTCCACAACATGCCCTTTGACATCAACGATGAATTCCATGTCGCCCTCATGGAGCCCGTGTTGCACTTCACCATGGGTGGTATCGAGATCAACGAGCACGCTCAGGTCCTCAACTCCGAGAAGAAGCCTTTCGATGGTCTCTACGCTTGCGGTGAACTTGCGGGTGGTGTCCACGGTGCCAACCGTCTTGGTGGTTCTTCTCTGCTGGGCTGCGTTGTCTACGGTCGTGTTGCTGGTGATAGTGCCAGCCAGTACCTGTTCAAGAAGCTGACCTCCGGCTCCACCACCGCCCAACAGCGTCTGGGCCAAATCTCTTTGCACATCGATCCTTCCACTCCCGGCAAGATCTCCGTCGAGTGGAACGGTGCTGCTGCTAGCGGCGCTGGCGGTGCTCAGGTGACTGCTTCCCCTGAGGCTGTCCAGACTGGCGGTCAGGGCGCCCCCGCCCCCGCTGCCGAGGCCTCGAAGCCCAATGACATCTCCAACTTCAAGATTCCCGAGAAGGAGTACACCATGGAGGAGGTTTCCAAGCACAACAAGAAGGATGACCTCTGGATCGTTGTCAAAGGTGTTGTCCTGGACGTGACCAACTGGCTTGACGAGCACCCCGGTGGTGCCAACGCCCTGTACAACTTCATGGGTCGTGATGCAACGGAAGGTATGTCATCTCTATCCTCTAACCATCGGACGCCCCTGCTAACAACTCTCCCCAGAATTCGCTATGCTCCATGACGATGAAGTCATCCCCAAGTACGCGGCCCAGATCGTCATCGGTCGGGTCAAGGGCCAGACCCCCAGCCTGGAATTCTAAGTGCGTGCGATATAGAGGTGGACGTGAGACATATTATTTGAGTACAGGGAAAGACAAAACCCATGCCGCGACCGTTCTGAACTTCTGATACATACCCCTTTTGATCTTGTTTGACGTCCTGTTACTTCGTACTATATTCTTTTGTGATGAGATGCAGGGATGATGTCACCTGATGCTTATATGATTAACTTATTGGTCTGTAAGATACAATTCAACTATCTTCAAGGTTCATTTCCAGTTGTACATCTCTAAGAGCGTCCTTTACGGTTGGTGAGCATTATTCCGCCCAATTAGTGCGAGTATTGACACATCAGTGTCGGTAAATATTGTACTACGAAGATTCAAGCCTAATAGCAAGGCAAGCGTTCCCAGTGAACAAGGTGAGACTCCCTCTGACATATATCAGGTCTGCATATGCCTCAAAATCATCTTCAATCGCCTAACAGCAGGCCCGTCCTCCACGGGAGCGCCCTGCTCCTTACGCTCCTCCATTTCCTTCGCCGCCGCCTCCAGTGTCGGGCGCAGGTATCCCCAGACTTCATCATGGTATCGCTCCTCGACAGCGATCCACTCCGCTGCACCCGGTAGACCCATCAGAACGGCATCCCGCAGCGCCGTGGCGTCCGTAGCCTGCGCAGCTGGCACGCTATCGAGGACTGACTCGATGTCCGGGACGAGACTGAAGGACGTGAGTCTGTGTGTCTGCGACAACGGTTCTGTAGCCGGCGTCGGCGTCGAGGTCTCGAGCGCGGCGTGGCGGCGGAAGGACTCGATCATTTTGATCTCCGATGGAGTGAGTTGTGGGGGGAGGAGCTCCGTCTCGATGGGTTCAAAAGGCTCCTCGGCGGTGGAGGGGAACTCGGGGTCGAAGGACGCATCTGAGAGGAGGGAGACGACTGCTTCGCCGTCGGATGGGAGAGGGGTAGCGGTCGTGGGGAGGGTGTTTTGCCAAGCGGTGTTCAGATTGTTCAGACCCGAGGATGAGGACGAGGGCTCGATATTTGAGAAGTCAGAGAGTGTTTTGCTTGCTTTGCCTTTCCCTTTTCCTGTGTCTGTTTCTGTTTCTGTTGAAGGAGGAAAGTCAATGCTGCTGTGTACTTGGCTTTCGTCGTATGTGCGCTGGAATTCATCCTCGGTGAGGGGTGGGAGCTCGAATGCACCCTGTTGACCTGCCGACGATGACCGGAATGACGCTGCAGGGTGATTGGTCGAAGCTCGATTCGACGAAGTAGGGGTCGCGGTCTCTCTGTACTGTTCTGCTGCTGCTAGGGCGGAGGACGATGCCGAGGACGATGGTCCGGCTTTGCTGCCGCTTCCCAACACCTGCGCTGCGCCTGCGGATGAGCCAGCTGCATTAAAAGCACTCCTTGCCAGACCCGCTGCGGAATTCTGGATGCGATTGGCAAGAGACGGAGGGTTTTGGCTCTCTGGGTCACTCTTGCGAGAGTCGGCCTGTTTTCTGGGGTCGTTGGGGGATTTCTCGCCAGTGCCCCGCTTCGCGCTGTTGTCGGACATGGTCAATGGCGGGGATTATCTGTGCGACACTCCGTGCACATTCAAGGGGTTGCTGGCGGACGCACGACGGAAATAAAATCCTAGTTAAAGGGAAATCAGTTGAGCAAAGAATATCAACAGATGATTGTCAAGCAGAGGAGTAACAGTGATGACGATCGATCGCCTATGTTTCGAACCTTCGGCACGCAGTGTCATTATTCGGCTTAATGGAGTCGGAATGTACAGGAAGACATGTGACGAGCCTCAGGCCATCATTTCATGAAGACTGGAAGGTTAGCAGTCTCGAAGTGAGTAATGAATATACGACAATGACATTTGTAAAGACGAGTTTGTGCTAGTATGGCCTTTGGCAATGACAGTCGCCTTTAAATGGTCTAATTAGGCTGAGATTCAAAATCGCCATATGGGGATCATTGAATTGCCATGTGGGCTGGACCACAAGGGTTTATGATGTTAGGAAGAAACAGACAAGCTCTTTTTAGAGCTTCAGCAATGAAAGCTGTTCCTGAAAATAAGATTAGAAATGAGGCTAGGTTGAATGTCTGCGACCATGAGTATCGAATCCAGCCATGGTCCAGACAAAAACAAAAGAAAAGATACAGAGAGTTACAACGACCAAGTGGTTGATGTCAGCGTAGTTGGGCGTCTCTGCGTTGCTGAAGACTAGCAGTTTGCCCGCGTCTCCACCACCGCCTCACCTCAACACCTTGACTAAGGTACTCCTACTGTCGTGTCTCTCTCTTCCTCTCTCTGTCGGAACTGACCTAATCGTTCTACCTAACCTAACCTAACTCTTCCCCTCCCACTCACCGGCTTTCTTGCTTCCCAAGCTTCTCCAACAGACTCTCTCGTCTGTTGTTGCTTGCTATTTTTGATATCCTCTCCTCTTCATCTCTTCCTCAGATATTCAATTAAAACGAGGCAAAAAAGGGCTGACTGCATCTAATACACCGAATTTTTTACTCCACTCACCCCTCTTCCGGACCTCAATCAGCCCAGGCTGTCAATCATTTGTCGTCTTCAGCCTGCAAAAAATCACCTACATACGAACAAAGGTCTCTCTGCCTTACTGAATCCTGTCTGACGTCGCAATCCTCCCGCACTTTCCTCCTCTCGCTCTTTTATATCTACTGATAGAACCAGTCTAAACCCGTCTCGCTCTCATTGATTTCCCCACTCGAGGCTCGCTTCTCCATCGGACCTGGTCGTCATAGCCGCTATCATTCCTGGCCGAAACAACAAGAGCAAAATAGAACCCATCCTTTCCTGAACCCCAACGTCGGATCCCATCTGTCACGTTCCCATCGAGAATCGTTATCAAGTTCCTGAGCCCAGGATTATAGATCTCTTTTATCTCGGATCCGCTAAACTACCCTAGTCAAGGGTGGTATCTGAAGGAAAATGGTAGACCGGGAGCCAGGTACACCTACCTGGAAGTTCACACAGTGAGTCCCCAGCGCATAGATCTTTCCGTCAGAGTGGGTTCCGTGGTCTAAGCTGCGTCAATCAATCAACGATTGTTTCCTTCATGTCCAATGGTGCTCAAGAATGGGCATCTGGACTGGAAGGATGGGTTCTGCCGATGTCCTCGTGTTCCACCTAGGCTCATGCGTTCGTTTCGCAGAGCAAGTCACTGACTATTTTGAAATAGATGCTTTGGTGACAAAGGCGATGTGGAAGATATCACAGAAGGTATGATAAGCGTCTTATGTCGTGCACCCGATTGCCACAGGTAATCGATCACGACTAAAGTCTGGAGCGCAATGGAATGAACAACCGAATCCTGACAATGTCACAGCGGATATCATCTCGACCGTCGAGTTCGACCACACTGGTAACTATCTGGCCACGGGAGACAAGGGCGGGAGGGTAGTGCTGTTTGAGCGGAACGAGACGGTAGCGACAACCTTTTCTTTCCACAGCGATGCACAAGGTTCTAATGAGTCAACCAGAAAAAAACCTGCGAATATAAGTTCCACACCGAGTTTCAGTCGCACGAGCCGGAATTCGATTACCTAAAATCACTAGAGATCGAAGAGAAGATCAACAAGATAAAGTGGTGTAGACGACAAAACGCTTCCCATTTCCTCCTTTCAACGAATGACAAAACGATAAAACTGTGGAAGGTGTTTGACAAGTCGCTGAAGGTGGTAGCGGAGAACAACTTATCGAACGAGCTTACACCCGCGGGTGCTGTTGGTGGTGGAGGGGCGCCGCGCGCGCCCCGTTTGTCCTTCAAGGATGCATCAGCTTTGAAGCTTCCACGGATGACACATCATGATACGGTCGTTGCAGCTGTCCCTCGGAGGACATATGCAAATGCACACGCATATCACATCAACAGCATCTCTGTGAACAGCGATGGGGAGACTTTCATCAGCAGCGACGATCTTCGGATCAACCTGTGGAACCTTAACATCCAAGACCAGAGCTTCAACATTGTCGATATCAAACCTGCAAACATGGAAGAGCTGACAGAGGTCATCACCGCTGCTGAGTTCCATCCCACTAGCTGCAATTGGTTCATGTACGCCAGCTCGAAAGGCACAATCAAGCTCGCCGACATGCGGCAGCGAGCGTTGTGCGATGAGCATTCAAAACGTATGTGGTGCATGCTCGCTATGAAATCCGTGAAAACCCCTTGACTGACCTACTTTCCATGACAGTCTTCGAACAAGAGGAAGATGCCTCGTCTCGCTCCTTTTTCTCTGAAATCATCTCATCTATCTCGGACGTCCGTTTCTCGCACGACGGCCGATACATTGTGTCAAGAGACTACCTCACAGTCAAGATCTGGGATGTCAACATGGAGAGGCAACCGGTGAAGACCATTCCGATCCACGAGCATCTACGGCCACGTTTGTGTGACACGTACGAGAACGACAGCATCTTCGATAAGTTTGAGGTGGTCTTCTCGGGTGATGCGGAGAACGTTATGACTGGTAGTTATAACAACAACTTTATGATCTACCCCACGGACCCTAGCAAGGAAACGGAGATCGTACTGCAAGCAGACAAGTCCGCCTTCAAGGCCAAGAAGGTCGGTGTGCCGACACCTATGAATAAGAACGGCAAGAAGAATGGGTCCAGGGCCGGTAGTCCTGCCGGTCCTGGCAGTCGGATGAAGAAGGAGACCGATGCGGATCAGATCGATTTCAACAAGAAGATTCTGCACATGAGCTGGCATCCTTATGAGGACAGCATTGCCATTGCTGCTACTAATAACGTGCGTATCCTTACTCTACTTTTCCCCTCCTGTTATCGTTCTTGTGAATTTGCAAGGGTGCTAATACTGTCGGAACAGCTGTTTGTCTTCTCCGCCTTGTAAGACTATTGACCGTATATGTTTACATCACAATTGGATGGTGGGGTCAGAAAATGAGACTTTGAGGCAATCCTTTTGAGCAAAGTATAGTGCAGAAGAAAAGAGGTTACTAGCAGCATCCGCAGTTCCAAATTCCAAGTTGCCAGTTCCAAATTCAGAATCTTTTTCCTAGCTTTCGGTTGGAGTGGTATGTGGTCTCTCTCTTTGGCTGATTGATGCTTGCGGGCGTTTTGGTGCGAGGTTTGATAGAGAAAGAAGACGAGAAGCAGTCGGCGATGACCAAATTCCCTTTTCTCCCCATAGCACAACCTCTGCTCATTACGTCGCTTCCGCCCTTTGCGTGTCTTCCTGGGCGAGGAGGCATATATGCCTTACACTTGATGTATCGCTGATCCGCAGCTCAAATATGCTGGCTGCGTCACGAGTGACAAATATCACCATTCAGTCGGAATGTGAGTACACACTTCTATCTTGTGTAATAAATGGATCATGGAGATGTTTTGGTCTTTTCTTGATGAAATCTTGTGCTGGAAGCACTTTGTTTTGTAATACTTTGTCGGTTGGTCTTTCAGGGATTACATCACAATCTACCCATATATATCGGCAGCCAACCTTTTCCGTTGTAAATTAAAGCTATATATCAAGCATAGTTATCCCAATTCCGAAAAGCAATGGTAATAAAGTCAATAAGACAACAACCTTACTTCAACAACTGCAGCACTCTATGGAGTAGTAGTCTGGTGTCTAGTTTGTAGAGTGTCTTTAGAGTTGCTCACCGAATCCTGCCTGTCAATGACGTCGAAAGCCCTGAGTGACACTTTTAGCGCCAAGGGGGCAGAAAAAGCCCACACAAAGACGAAAGTTTGTCAAACAGTCAAACACAAAGAAGTAAAAGGGTAAAGGGCAGAATAATCCACCAATCAGCCAATCAGACGGTGATCGCAAAGCTCGGAAAAGCTTCGTCCCGGGCCATACACTATGAACGAAAGGGGTTAGCGTCCTGAAAGCCTCCGCCTTGTGTCTTGGAGACCAGCCGTGGTCCGTCGCGCGCAAACCATCATCCCCAACTGATCTACTGCTTGTGTTGGCTGAGGCTGTCTTTTTAGTCTTCTAACTCGTTGCCCTTGCTTCTTTGCTCATATATCTGCTTCTCTTCCAATCTGTGTCTTTTTACCTCTGTCTTAATCTTATCTGTGGTAATTCAAACTCTGCAGCACAGTGATGGCTTTGTGAAATGACCAGGAGCAAGAACACTCGAGAGTGCAAAAAAGAAGAACCGATCTAGGGCTTTGGCTAAAGTGTCTCTCTACCGTTTTTCTTGTCCTTTTCCCGCTTCAAACCTCATACTCCTCCTGTAATTCGGAGCAGGACTCTGTTGTTTGCATTTTGTTCATGCAGAGATCATGAACTCTTCTGGCAGTGATAACTGGCACCCTGCCGGTGGCCCTCCCTCGCACCCTGGGATGGACCAGATGAGCCAACAACCTCGTCCTTTGGGTTCTTTTAGGTATCTTACTCTACCGAGCATTTATGATTCGCAGAGACCTTGTCGCTGACTCTTCTTTTGAACTTGCAGCCAGAACCCCCCGCCTCAGCAGGGCCCATCGTCACAACCCACCGGTCCAGTCCTTCCTCCTCCTGCTGGTTAGAATATACCTTCAATGCTATCTTGTGC